CATTTGCATGCATCAGTCATGTTTAATGAGTTGGAGAATAGTCAATAGAGGAAGCAAAGCACATATGCAGTGAAAAAAATCTCTTTGCAGGTAGATATTACAAAGGGGAAAATACGAAGAACGTTCAGGCTCAGTTATTTGTGTAAGAAACTGTTGTCTCCTTTAGGCATCATCCATGTGGAATTTCATTCCATTTTGCAGCAAATGTTAGCAGGATGATGAAAGCTAAGACAATGTAGAGCTAAGGATAATGACTGTCTTGGTTTGAGCTATGGGTTTTTGAAGCAATACAGTGGAAGATGGATTGACCTTAAGTAAACCAGAGCAGGCTTGGGTGAAGGCAGTCAGGTGGTGGCAGTATTCTGCACAGTTTTTTTGTGGGCCTTTCTTTTTATTTCCCAAGTCAAATTCTCAGATCCAGTGATAGGAGTTTTCCTGAGGCCTGTGTCTCCCTTCAGGGCATGCTTTGCGTGGCTTAAAGGCACATCATTCTGGGTGATCTAAGGACATGAATGAGGTGGGACCCCAGAGAGTGTCCCATCCAGTATCTTTCACCAGCAGTGTGGTGGGATCACACTTAGACCTCAAAAGTGGGAAAACTAGCAGTGAATGTGTTGGAATGTCCTGCAATAATCAGCTCAGTTTTGGAAAATTAATGTCTCTCAATAATTGTGGGAATTTCAGGAGTGGTATAGACATTATGGCATTAAGGAACTGCTTTTCCAAGCTGGTTCCTCTGTAGATTCCATATGAATACATAGAGAGACAACCTGTAGTTCTTAAAACAAAAAACCACAAAACTAAATCTGTGCATAGTTAAAAAGATACTGTTGAGTAACTTAAAATAATGAAGTTCAGGAACTTTGAGCTGATTAAAGCTGTGCCAGTAGGACATAAGGTACAATATTGGGAACTTTGAACAGGATAGATTTAACACGGTGGAAGAGGGATTGAGGGATGGAGCAGCTCTCCTATGAGGAGAAGCTGAGAGGGTGGGGATTGTTTAGCCTGGAGAAGAGAAGGTTCCTGGGAGACCTCATTATGACCTTTCAGTACTTAAAGGGGGCTTATAAAAAAGATGGCAACAGATTTTTTTAGCAGGGCCTGTTGTGATAGGACATGGGGTAATGGCTTTAAAGTAAAACAGGTAAGAATTAGACTAGACACAAGGAAGACATTTTTTGCTATGAGGGTGGTGAAGCACTGGCTCAGGTTGCCCAGAGAGGTGGTACATTCCCATCCATGGGAATATTCAAGGTCAGGTTGGACAAGGCTCTGAACAACCTCATCTAGGTGAAGATGTCCCTGCTTATTGCAGGGGGAGTGGACTAGGTGATCTTTGAAGGTCCTTTCCAACCCAAACCACTCTATGGTTAGTAATAACAATGGTGATATTATGATGTAGAAAACTACCTTCATGTGGTTGATCTGAACCAATACTGTGCATTTTTTAGTATTTATAGAATTAGAACAGTTGGGTTGGGTTGGCTGTGCAAATGCTTCATCCCTAATATGTTATTCATACTGATTACATTTGCATATGATTCACATTCAGTTTGAATTTGCCAGATGCCCGTTTATGTTTGTTTAAATGATGAGATCATTCCATGAAGTGAGCAAGAGCTAAAAATGTAGAGGGAAGACTGTTTAGAAAAACAAGATTTAAAATGCCTTTCTTACATATTTTCACAGCTCATGGTATATTATGCAAGCAGAAGCACAGCAATGCTGAGGCACTGTTCAAAAAAATGCGTCTGTGGCTAACGCTTCATTAAACAAGAAATTATATAACCCAGCTTCATTGGATTGTTTCTACTTCCCAGTTAATTTTGCCATTAATGGGAATGTTCTCTGTGCTGGTTTGGTGGGTTTTTTGGTAGTGGGGGAAGCCATAGGTGACTCTGGTAAGAAGCTGAGAAGCTCCCCCTGCTCCAAACCCAGCCAAGGGCCATTTGAGAAATGACAGATGCACCTCTGCCATTATCAGATGAAAAAACTGAGGTAACACCTGAGCAGAGCAAGCAGTAGAAGAAGAGATGAGCTGGAGAGGCAGAGCTGTGCCTGTGACTGGTGAGGAAGAAGGGGAAGAAGGTGCCCAAGCAGGTGCCCATGGGGAAGCAGGGCAGGACTGTAAGGAATCCTTCTTCCTGAGGAGGCAGGAGCAGCAGGAACCCCCAGCCTGTGAAGTGACTCTAAACCCCATCCCCTGTCCCCCTGTGCTGCTGGGGGGAAGGAGGGGGAGACCACGACATTCTCTTACTGAATATGTGCAAACAGAACATTTTCAAAGCTAACGTAATTTTGCTGCTTCTCGTTTTGTGTTATGTGAAGATCCCAAATCTTTTCAAGAGTGCTTCATCATTTACTGTAGCATGGAAGAATTTTTAGAACATACTGCTGGAGGCAAAGCTTATACGTAAAACTGCGCAGACAAGGGGTAACTGAATTCGGAACTTTTATGTTATTGCATTTACATAGACTGTTAACAAGCCATAAACTTTTCTTATGCACAAAGGGAGACTACCAACTAACCACTTGAGTTCAACAAAGACTCCTCAAATGTGTTTTTAATTTATGTGAGACTTTTAAAATCTTTCCCAAGCTTGAAGAAATCCTGATTTGGTCATATTGCAGCTAATCACTAAGCGCATTAAACATTTACATTAGTACTTGGTGAAATATAAATTTAACCATATAAAAATTGAGATTGCTGCTTTGGTAAAGGCAGTTAACAGTGGCTAATATCAGAACACACATCTTGTAGGCTACTTTGATCTCCATTAAGCAGAATCTGCAAAAGAAAATTGAGAGTTTAGTCAAAGCTCAATTAAAAAATATGCAGTAGTATAGATGATAGAATATGCAATAAAAAGAAACTATTGAATATATGGTTCATGCTAAGCTCCTTCAACTCATATACACACCAGAATTAACAGAATTTGATGACAAAAAATGTTTAGAGAAAGATTTCTCATGTGCACTCTTAAGATGGAACAGATGATTTTATGTGAATTGCAGTCTGTCCGTTCCCCAGAGCAATGCTGGTCCCAAGTGCAAAAACATCTGCAAGCTCCCTCATGCAAAATGCTCTTTATATTTTGGACCAGAGAAGAGGAAGGAGGCAAGATACTTTTCAAATGCAGCAGCACAAGAGCCTGTTTGTGTTGTTCATTTGTTCCAGACTCTTTTCTAGATACTGCTTCTTTAGAGCTTAGTTTGCTGTTTCTGAGTCTTTCATTACTTGTCAGTAGCAGCTGTTACTTAAACACATCAAGAGCAGACTTTCCTGAAATTTATTTTGAACTAAATCTGCTTTAAAATCTGTTGTAAATCAGTGGACTAGGTTCACATCAGGCTATGTATGGAACACTAGTATCTGCTTTTCCTAAGAGATGCAAAAGTTTTCGCAATAGCTGGAAATTTGCAGAAGTAGAAGCAGTCATGTTACCAAAGAGGAGTTTTATGATTATGTGCCTACTAAAAATACATGTGTATTCTGCTTGTGACTAGATTTGACACATTCATTTGACACATTTTGTTTCATCCCTGTTGAAACAAAATGCCAAAATACTCAAACTGCTAGAGCTTTTTGATTTTGCTTGTGAGGGGAACTTAAAAGAGCATCAAATTTCAGGGTCATAAAAATGTTTCCCTTTCTGTATTCAGTCACAGTGCTGCAGCTACATTCTGGGTGCCTTTGGAAAGTGGGAAGGTATCACTAACTTTGCCTTGTATTCTGTATTAATATTTTTAAAGTGTATCTCTTAAAAACCCAAAATGTCCCTTCAAGTGATTATTAGAGCACCTAACTGGACTGGTAAATGATGAGCAGATACATGCAGAGATATACCATAGAATCAGAGTTGTATTGAAAGCTCTAATTAAAGCTGAGAGTGTGAAAATGTATGAGGTGTGATATAGTTTTTGGAAAAATGTGGCCATTTCCAGATGATTGCCATCAGTCTGCTAGAGCAGTTGCTCCAGTCTGCTAGGACCACATGGCCTCACATGAGCATTTTGCTCCTGTTCCACAGTTTGAGACGTTGTTTACGGACTTGTGCCCAACAGTTTGACAGAAGTGCAGAGCTGGACTTCTTCCAAATTCCATTGCCTCCTTTCTCTTGAGTGGCATAACTGTTATGTCTCACTAGCCTTGCACCACCACCTTTCAGCCTCACCTTACGTCCTTGTTTGATATGTATTTAGTTGAATTTGTGGCTAATATAAGGATAGTCAGGTTGAAAACATCTTTCAATTGTGACATGATTTGTTTGGCATTTGAACTTTAAAGTTCAAATGAAAGGCATTCTGCAGTGCATTTTATGTACTAAACTTCTGAAATTAAGAAAATTCAGAAAGCTTTTGGTGAACTGTTTTTATGTCTTTTATATTGCACATCCTACCAAGTCTTGTTAATGTGTTCTTATCTTTTTTGGTGGGGAAGAAAGGACCATTGTTTTTTACTGCAAGAAACGGTATAATTCACATGGTTTGACAGAAGGGGACTCCAATAAAATGTTGGAATAAGCAAAGTAGGCATAAAATGTTACCACTTTTCCTCTGGAAACTATTTAAATATGGTGCCATTTAAATTAACAATGGTCTTTGAATTTTGGCATATGCAGTTGTATGCAGTGTTGATTTTAAAGCAGAAGCAGTATCTTTTATAAAAGCAACAGCTCAATTTTGAAAGATGCTGAGGGAATGTGTGGCAGCTAGGCTGTTTAGCTTTTTCAGATTTCTTGTGTAGAATTTGACAGCTGTTGGAAAGTTACTTTTAGCTTTATGTACGTTTTATTTTGAAGAAACTCAAATACTTCAATAAAAACTTGTTACTAAATTGCACGCATGGAAGTTACTTACGTACTTCTGCTCTTACTGCATTTTTTTGTTGAGTATGGTTGAATTTTTGCTGAAAAACCCCGGCATTTATTTCCAGGCTTTCTTAAAGTTGATCTATTTATGTACTTTTCCTTTTTTTTTATTTTTAATTTCAACAGCTGGATGAAGTTGTCCGTCAGAGAAATTTGTGCAGTTTGGAACTTTTCCTCTCTTGTGCCCAGAAACAGTTAAGTGTTTTATTAAAGGAAGAGCCAACCACTACAGAGGAAAACAGAGACTGACATTCTCAGTACTGCTGATAGAGTGTGATTTATGAAGCTGCAAATCTCAAGCCAGCAAATGACAGATACATTCTAATCATCTGAGATGGTGTCATTGATTCAAGATTGATCTGAAACTGCGCTTGATAGAAGTATTCACTGATTATGCTCTTCTATTATTTATTTATTTTACTGCTGTTACCAGATTGCAAATATGAGAGGGAAAAAATCCCTGGAAAATTATTTTATTTTATTTTCATTGTATTTTCCAGTACCTCATGATTGAAGTTCTAGATAACTGCAACAATGAGGAAGATGTTCCCCTGTTATGTCTGATTTAGATTTAGCATCATGTGTTGATACAATTTATCAATATTTTTTATATTCTTAAAATGGAGAAAAACATTTAATTGAGAAAAGACACAAGTCCATCTCTGTTTCCACAGTGTATCCCAAGTGCATTGCCTAAGGTGAGTCTGAGGAGCTTATTCTTCCTACTTTTGATGTATAACAGAAGAACCAGTACTGAAACATAAGAGTGTTGACAGGCATTTCTTTAGCCTTTCGTAAACAACTCCAGCTGTAGCAATAGATAAGTTTAAAAACTAAACCTTGCGTCTTTTCAGATTAGTGCAAAACACTGCCATAACCCAACATATAGTATGTATTTTATTTCTGTTTTGCAAGCTAATTGGATTCCAAAAGTCACTTTCCCATGAAAGCACGATTAATATGACTGACCTCAGTTTCAGGAAGAAGATGTGTGTAATTATGTGGAGCCTGATACTGCACTGCCTCAGTGGAATTTCTGACAGAATAAGGAGTGCAGCTTGCTGACCTTGGATGTCCTTTCTAAACCCGTTGAAGGAAGTAGAAAAACTCCCCACAGACATTTTTTGGAGTTTGGATCAGGTCAGAGGTCTTTCTGTTCTTGCTAATGGCAGCACAGAGTGGAATTTCTGTGCCTGTGCTCTATTGATTGTAGATTTGGGGCCTTAGTTATAAAAAAATTCTGAATGAAATGAGGGAAAATAAATGTTCATGCCTAGAAACATAAATAAACTGAGAATGATACCTCTTATGCTGAACTTGTGATTCAATGGGGGACTTATGGGCATTTTATAGTTTTCTTCTTGTTATTCATTGCTCTTTTGGGTTGTTTTTTTACTGTTATTTTTTTTTGGCTGTTTTTTTGCACCCACAGTCACTATTCATAAATACATTTTTTATAACAATAAGGAAACACCAAATGGTTGTGTATGTAGTTGACAGTGTGAAATACGTTTTGCAGACAGTTAAGGTTTTTTATTTAAATATTTTTTTCTGTGCTTCGTTTTTTTAATCAAACCCAAAGTTTTCTTCTTCCATATTCAAAGGTTCACGTAAGAATTAAATAATGTGGGTTTTAGTAGATTATGTCCTCACCCTACAGATGGAAACAAAAAAAAAAAAAAAAAAAGAAGAAACAGAAATTTGGGCGTTAATGAGTCTCCTACTTCCTAAGCCAGTGAAATACTGGTCTTTGTCAACTGCACCATAGGTGGCACAGATGTCAGAACTGTCAAAACAGAATTGTCTAATGCTGCCTCACAATCTGGAAATGTGGTATGAGCAGATTCCTAGATGGACTTCAACATTCTTGGTTTTACTTCTAGGCCTGTACATGGCATCCTATTTCTTCTTACTTCAGACCTCAAAGTGTTCCCCATCGATGCCAGAGACTTAGTGGTTTATCAGCTTTCTCCTGGTAAAGAGTATTGGATTTTGATTTACAACAGTATGTAAAAGCACTTGTTGGAGAAGCTTCTGATTTGAGTCAGTAAGATTCCACTGGCAACTGTGGTGTATCTTTTACCATATCTTTTCCATCAGGTCTTTAATCCCATTTCATGAATCTTGCGATTGTGACAAAGAACTGTAGATATTTTTTCCTACCTTTGACAAGTCTGGTGCTTTCATCTTTCTCTGTATCCTGCAAGAAGGACTGCAGAATTGGACCACAGACATACAAGATCAGATTGGGAGTTTGGATTGCATTCAAAACTCCCAAATCTCTGAGCAGAAATGTAGTTATCCAGCAGAAGAAGACCTTCCCAGTATGTGAGCTTTGGAGCATGCAATCAACTCCATCTTCTCTGCATTGCACTGTGAGCTTTAAGGCTTAGTTTTATTTTTCATTATTTCTGCCTAACTACAGGAGAATACAGTTTGTGTAAATTCAGGAGGAGGGGAGGCAGGGAGAACTTTGAAAAACCTAATCTAGCTTCTAGAAAGTGACATCACCATTTCTTTTTACTTTTTTTTATTTTTTAAATTCCTACATAAAGACTGAAGAGTTATATATAAGAGAAAATAATACATTCAAGGGCTACAGAGTGGAACTTAGTCTGCCTCTGAGGCATGGCTGCTAGTGTAACCATTTTGGCAAGGCTTTTATGTAATGGGAGGAGCAAGAAGCCCTAGAACTAATAATTAGAATTGAAATACATGCACTAAAACGTTCAAGCTAGTGAGTCTGCAGTCTAGATCACCAAAGCTCATATTATATACCTGATTTTTTATATATATATTAAATTATATACTTTTCTTAGAAGTAAAGCATAAAAATTGTTATGTAAAGTTGTATTTTAAGCAATCAGTTGTGTGTACTAAAAGTTACCTAAAAGACAAGGTAACAGTAGATCCAGTATCATTCATTGATGTCAGTCAGCATCATTCTATTTTAACACTTCTACTTGGTAGTCTAGAGATGAACAGAACAGTGGGATTTGTAACTAATAGTTTCCTAAGTTAACACTGAACATTATGATATCATGCAGTCCTACACCATTTCTGTTATATTCTGTATGTTTCTACTGGATCTCTGTCTGCTTCCATTACAGAATTCTGTATCAGCTCTGAGACTGTGTGTGTACAGGTCATTAACAAAGGAGAAATCATTAGCCACATAGTTTTTCTATGCTGTCTATAGTTAAGATATGGGAATATTTTAATTTTTGCCTTGCTGTAAGAATTTCATTGACAAATGCCATTTCAGTTCCTCGAAGTATTGAATTCCTTCAGTCCATCATAGGAAGACAGAAGAAGGAAAAGGCAATAGTCATTCCAGAGGCTGAGATCACATTAGTATTTTGAGACTTTTGTGCAACTTTACATTGGCATCTGATCAAAAGTTGCCTCCTGTCCTGCCAGCTCAGTAAATGGCAGTGTTAATTCCTGGCTGTCTGAAATGATCTGTGCAGATATGTCCTTAGTGAGCCTCAGGCCTGGTCACACTGAAACTCCCTTAGAACACTCTAGACCCTCCTCTTCCAGTGTGTGTTTTCTATGTCCACATATTTTAGCTCAGAGATGTTTCCCCCTCCCCTTGGATGGGGGGAATATGTGAGAAGATTCCTTCTTGTTTCCTAGCCAGAAATAGCCACTGATAGAAACTGTTCATCAAGGGGACAGAAAAAATGTATGCTCACATTCAGATCCTGTGCAGTATCAGTGAAGTTATCAAATGGACTTAGTGCAAATGTGAAGTGACCTGGATTGGGGCATACATGGTCTAACTCCAGCTAGGTGGCATTTTTGATACCAGATGGGTGGGTGTCAAAGCATAAAACACAGCACCATCTAACCACTTCCAGTACCTGAAGGGGCCTACAGAAAAGCTGGGGAGGGGCTTTTCACCAGAGAAGGCAGTGATAGGACAAGGGGTAATGGTTTTAAACTGCAAGAGGATAGATTTAGGGTAGACATCAGGAAGAAATTATTTACCATGTGGGTAGTAAGGCACTGGAATAGGTTGCCTAGGGAGGCTGTTGATCCCCCTCCCTGAAGGTGTTTAAGGCCAGGTTGGATGCCACCTGGTCTAATGAGAGATAGGGCAAAAGGTCAGTCTTACTTTATGCCACTTGCCACAGGTAGATATTTACAGCACGTGCCACGTGTTGGGTTATGGAGTTTACATTGCTGAGGGCAGCACTGCTAACATTAAATTACAGCAACTTATAGTCATGTCCTAGAAGTGGTGAGAGTCAGCTGTGGCTGTTGGTCACAGCAGAGTATTTAGCAGCACAAAATAGACATGATTCATTTTTTAGATTTATCTTGTTTATTGCATAGTGTGCATTTTAAATTTGTCGTCTTACCTTTCAGTGATACAGCATTCCTGTAACAATAATGGTATTCTTCTGTGATAGTAACAATAATAATAGCAACAGTAATTTCCTGTGAAATATGTGGTATCACTATTTTATCCACATCTTACACGCTGTGTAATTCTAATAATGAAAATATGCATCAGAGATTCACATTTGTTTATATGGCTTGTAATTCCTCACATTTCAGACTTACAAAAACAGTGCTTTTTAGGTACATTACACAAAGAAGGCCTTATTTAATAAACACTCAGGCTATTTATTTTTTTTTCAGATGGCATTTTTAAACAATTTGACAGCGAACACTAGTAAAAAAATGAGATGTTTATTAATATACATAACCTAAAAATACAAGTATCAACAAAATACTACAAATTAATGTCTGGGTTTAGTTAGGGTTTTTTTTCAGATTTGATAATAGATCTGTATCAGTACATATAGGTCACCATCAGGTGGGAAGTCATTGACATTTATTCTCTTTCTTCAAGTTAAAATATTTTGAGTTCTCACAAAACCAAAGGAATTTGCAGCTCTCTGTGTTGAAAAAGAAGCTTGTCTTAACTGATCCCCGCTACACTATAATGGTAGGAGATCCTTTTAGGTAAGGGAGAAAGAGAATTGTTTTTACTGAGTGAACTTTGAAGGATGTTTCAGTTCCTGCCCTACTACCAAATTAGGGCATCAGTTAAGACTTCACGTTGATCTCGCCACATAAATTTTCTGACAGATAGCTAGTCATGGTGATACATGACCAGTCTGTATTTTTGTGGCAATAATTTCAAAAATTCCATTACTTAAACATCCTACTCTTTTATTGTGACTGTAGATTACATATTTAGAGAGTGTCTGTGAAGCTCTGCCTCCCAGGAAGCC